AAGGGGAAAACAACTTTCAATTGTTTTCTACTTTCTTCACAAAAAGCATTCTCATTGTTTTTTGTTTTCGTTTCTGTTTTCAAAACTTTTATTAAACAAACGTAATTTGTAGACCGTTTTCATTTTCGTACCTCAAAAGACGTACAAAAACGTTTTTAAAAATAATTTCAAACGCACCTATTATTTTTTCTATTATTTTTTTCGGCTAGCAGACAGACTTGGTTTAATCTAAAAAAAGGAAAATACTTGGTTTATGAGCTGCAGTTGCATGCATGGATGGAAATGTCGATCTCAATAAGGTTGTCGAGGTTTTATTTTAATGATAATGTTGACGAAAATGCCGCTATTTACAGATATTTTAGAAAGAATTAAATACCTTAAAAAAATCTTAAAATTTTTTTATTGAGACTATAAAAAACGTTAAAAACAATCATATTACTTAATTTGGACTAATTAATAACAAATATAATATAATAAAAAATTATCATAATTATATATAGATTACGATTCAAATATAATTTTACATACTTAATGCAAACACGGTACAATAATTCAATATATTATATGAAAATTAACTACCAAACTTAATAGAGCACACATGGACTTAAATTACTTTCAATACCAAAACGAGTTTCTAACAAGTTAAAAAGTATTTGGTAAGTTCCGATCTTAATCTAAACAATACATTTATTAATATATTATCTTTAAATAATTCTTAAGGTAGTTGTTGGTGTGCAACATGTATTTTTCTTGATCTCTTTCCACTGTTAATCCATAATTTAGATAATGTTAGTTTGTTCAACTTGACAAATAGCCTTCAAGGATGTGTAATGACATGTCAATATTGGCCTATGATTGAGGATACACTAATATATTAAACAAACCATCTTGGTTATATACTTTTAAAGTATATCACATGTGAGAACTATATGAATGAGTATAACCATATGAACTTTGTTCATTTCCTAATCTCATAGAATCAAAACTCAATGTCATAGAGTTAAATTGATGAAGTAAAAATTATTTAAAAACTAATTGTCTTAATTTTTTTTTGTTTTTAATTTGAATAATGTTGTCACATTTTATTATAAAAAAGAAAAAAAAGTGCTACAAAATTGATTTTTGATTGTGGACATTTCAAATTTTCTTGAAAAGACATGTATCCTTTTCTTCACTTTCATAGCGTTGGTGACATCCCCTTATATGAATAAAATTTCGTGGGTATAAAATCAATGAATGAAAATATGGGTCGGTATAAATATCGATAATGCAGATTTAATAAAATTTTTCAGAAATATAACGTTTTCAACACTAAATTTGGACCTCATCTTTAATTTTAGTATGAAATCCCAAGTTTATAAATCTATTAACAATTGGGATTTAAAAGCATAACATTAATTAATGAATATAAATATCTCGATATTTTAAAGCACAAACTCTTCTCTAAAGTGATAAATTGAACACACGGTTTAATCTAAAAAAAAAGAGAGAGACGAGATTTGCTTTTGGAGAGGGGGCTGCTTGGCTCAATTATTCTGACTTATCATCACGTGCTAAAAAAAATCAATTATTAAAAAAATGCTAAAAAATAATTTAGGACTTTCTGCAATTACGCCCTCTGAGCTTATCAGCATTTGAAAATTTAGATTTCAAATTCAACTTTGTCAAATAGGACCCTAAGTTTAAAATTTTATTGCAATTATTGTCTTATAACTAAAGAATGTTGATTAATAAACATAAAATCCCCTGCATTTTTTTTAGCAATAAATTTGAAACTTTTCATGTAAATTGTAGTGTGAACCTTCTACTTTTTACATTTGAGGACCCAAATCACAAACTAACTCAAATTTTTACTTATTCTTTCAGTTTTAATTAGAATTTTTGAGTTAATCTTGTATAAAATTTAATATTTTGATATAAATTTTCACATTTTGAAAATTGGGGACCCAAATTGTAGAATGAATTTTCAATTATTTTGTAGTACGACTCTCTAAAATTGTATCGATGGGGTTACTTTGCAGCAACCATTTGGCATCTGCAGTGAGACTTATGTATGTGTTTTATACAATGTTAGATTTTTTTTTTTTTTTTTCTCTTTTCTCTTAAAGGCATATATCCTTTACTTCACTTTCATAGCTTTGGTGGACAACCCCTTATATGACTAAAATTTCATGGGTATAAAATCAATGAATGAAAATATAGGCCGGTATAAATATCGATAATGCGGATTTAATAAAATTTTAAGAAATATATCAATATCAACGGAAAAATTAAGAATTATGAAAATTATGAAAATTTGTTTTAAAATATTAAAAATTATGAAATTCTAGAATATGATAAATATTGGAAAAGAATATGTAAATAAATAAGTTTTTATTAAAAACTTATACAAAGTAAATAAAAAAATCGTAATACCAGAGAAAATTTTTATTTCTGTAAGACTCAAATGTAATTGAGATTTTATTATGATTCGAACAATATTAATATCGCGACAATTTATAAAGTGCCCAAACATGCTAACTGAAGAATATTTATTAGTTAGAAAAAATGAAAATAAATTATGGCTGTCAATTTTTACAATTTTTTTAATTTATTTTTGATATTTTTCTTATATTTTTCGACATTATGTTGAAAATACACTACAATCTTATCGAAATCAATATTTTTTAATATTTATTTAAATTTCTTCAAATTTTTGTCAAAATCTTTTTGCACTTAAAAAAGATGCACGAGACCTTTAAATTTTGAAATTTTAAAAGCCTCATTAATTTTACCGATTTGAGTTTTCAGTTTTAAGTTTCTACAGTTAAAAGCTTTTAAAAAATGTCACATCTAATTTTTTTTATCTACAATTAAAAGTTTTAAAAAAATATCACATCTCAATTCGAATTAAAAATTTAAATTCACGGAATGAATAAGACAAGTAGTTTTGATATTTTTGTCCACAAGTAAGCATATATCCAGATTATACGTGTTACATGGTCCAAGCATCATGACAACATTGCGGTGGGTAAGAAAAAGGTTAGCACAGCAAAGGCATTCCTTGAAGTTTTGGTTGTCAATCTTGAAAATTGTTGACATGATGGGTACCCAAAATACTATTCTTGTGAGTGCCAACCGACAGAAGATATCCATAGTCCATACTGCAATGGCAACGCGAGTTTGACTCGTTCAAGTCCAAACTCTCTTTATTCTATCTTGTCAATGATTCATGCCCTACAAATTTTGTGTACCCATCAAAACAAAACATTTATCAAGGACACGATCATTCATTGCCATATATTATTACATTTAATTGGAAATAACACTAATAAAAAAGAGCATGAAAAAAAAGATTATAATTTATTCTTAATTAATATATTTTTATTAGTATAGTTATTTAACTAAAAAGAGTATTAATCAAGAAAAATAGATAAAAATCAAGACATATATATTTTTAAAAAGTATTTATCAAGATTTCTCATACAAATTCTAACGGTAAGTTCGGGTTAGACCGGGCGACCCAAACTTTTAACTTTACTCGTAATACTTGTACGAACGCATATAGAGACTTTTGTGGGTTTTGAAACTTATGGTTTGAACCTTTTATTTGGATATGTGTGAAAAAATAGATTGAAATTATACGGGTTCAAATAGGCAAAACTCAAGAGGAAGTGGGTTCTCATTTTTGAGATGGAGAGAGGTTATGTATTTGTTTTTAAAGAATCCCAAACGAAGATTTTATTAAGGTCCCGTTCTTTTCGCTGATTTGAGTTTAGAATTCGAGTTTTGTTACAGTAAAAAATTCTCAGAAACAGTCACATCTAACTTTTTTACTACAGTAAAAAGTTCTCACACAACATCACATCTCAACTCGAATTAAAAACTCAAATTAACGAACTGAACGGACCCTAGACTCGTGGATTCAAACCCGCGTAACTCCTACCAAATGAGGCCTAAAATATTTTTAGTGTTGAAATGAACATTTTACTCAAATTTCAAATCTGATATTGACGCATTAATTTAACGCTGTTTTAGCTAACGCTTATGTTTGATGTCTTGCTGATTACAGAATTATGTGGCAGTATTAGGTTCTATGATAAGACAAAAAAGGGCACATCTCTGACTAAAAAACGAAAACCCCACACTTATTAATATTAATATTTTTCATTTAATGATAACCCCAACCTCAATCAAATAAATTATTGGCTCAACAACATTTTGAAACCAAAACCCTCTCTCCCCCCAATTTATCGTGAAAAAAGTTTCACTTTCCTTTTTTATCGCCTTAAAACCAAAATATTCCGATAAATTAACCTATCATATCGCAATCATAAATGTACTACTGTATCACGTGATATATAATAAGTACCGCATCTCCATTAAGGACCATAACTAAAAGACTGGCTATGAGCTATTCTCAAACAGTGACTGGCTATATACACTCCAAAAAAAAAAAAAGAAAAAGAAAAAGAAAAAGCATAAAAGTGGCTTGATGGCAAGTATCGTAATATTTTTGGAAATCTGGGGGCAAAAAGGTGGGGACCATCCGAGAAAGCTTTGTCGTTTATTGGATGATCTGAGAGGAGTGACACTCGCTTTCCAAGTTATTTTCGCCTCCTTTTCAGCTGTACTATCTGTCGCGTTCCAGAGCCGTTGATCAATCTAAAGGTTTTGATCGGGCACTAAAACTTGAATCAGTACGGCAAGTACAGCTAGATCAAAATGAGCTTGCCCGTATTGGAGTACGGCTGGAGTCTTCTTTCACCCAAGCTGAAGGACACCTGTCAGCTAGAGATTCCGCGCCGATGAACTCGACAAGATATAGCCGGCTAAGCAGGACCCACGTTCACCTGTACTTATATGATAGGTGCACTATAACTTATCAAAGCAATGGAACTTATCACTTGAAAACACATCTCTGCTTATCATACCCTTTATCTGTCGCCTCCTCCTATAAAAATCACCATTTCTGCCAGTTTAGATGTCTCCTCCTACCTATATACATATATATATATACACACACACACACATAAATATAAATAATAGACAATTTTAGAGAGAGATAAAGCTCTTGGAGAAGGAGAGTTAACTAAAGTTTCTAGAGAGAGAAAGCTCGTCTAAGCTCTCTCTCTCTCTATCCCTTTCTTCCCCCTTTGTTCGTCCGGTTCTGTGGTTTGCTCGTTCTGATTTGGTCCTCAAGGTGAGAGTTCTTACCTTTCCTTTTCTCTGCGTTTTTGGCATCTCCTGTTTTATGATTTTTCTTTTTTCATTTCTTCTATTTTTTTTTGCCTTGACTTTCTTTTTCTTCTTCTTCTTGTTTTTTTTTTTTTGGGTTTTTTGTCATTTGCACTTTTTTTTTCCCCGTTTGCATCTTCGATTTCTCATGGGTCTAAAGCTGCTTTCTTCCTTTGTCTCTTTGATCCTTCGAAGAGAAAATAAATAAATATATTAAATAAATAAAGGATGTAATTTTCTTTTCCTTAACCTGAATTTACCTTCTCACATGCTGTAGGGCCTATTATATCTGATCATTTTGTGCAAAAATGGTGTTTTGTTTCCATGATCTAGTTTCTGGAGATGTGTGTTTTGTTTGCCCCAACTGGAGTTATTTGTTTTGACCTTTTTTTGAATTTCTGAGCTATTTCTGGCTGAGCTTTTTTCAAATTTTCGTGCCTTTTTTTAGTTTATTATATTTTTTTTGGGTGCAGATCTAGTTAAATTAACGGTGATATTTGTGGGTTTGGAATAGAAGACGGGGCGGTCAAGATGTCGTCGCTTAGTAGAGAGCTCGTTTTCCTGATCTTACAGTTTCTAGACGAGGAAAAGTTCAAAGAGACTGTTCACAAGTAAATCTCCCGCATTTAATTTGGTTATATATTCTTTATTTTTGGAAAAAATGGCTAATTCTTCAAATTTCCGTTTATTACGTACCCATTTGCCTCATTGCTTGCGTTTTGCATTAATAGGCTAGAACAGGAATCTGGGTTTTTTTTTAATATGAAGTATTTTGAGGATGAGGTTCACAATGGTAATTGGGATGAGGTTGAGAAGTACCTTTCTGGGTTCACAAAAGTAGACGACAATCGGTATTCCATGAAAATCTTTTTCGAGATAAGGAAGCAGAAGTATCTCGAGGCTCTGGATAAGTAAGCTTGCAATCTCTCAAGTTCAAGCTCAAGTTAAACTTCATTCTTGAATGGGTTTTATTTTTTATAAGTAATTCTGTGGCTCAATTGCATTTAAGACAGTGTCATTTGTATATTTCTTTCAGGCATGATCGGTCCAAGGCTGTGGATATATTGGTGAAAGATTTGAAGGTTTTTGCCACATTTAACGAGGAACTCTTTAAGGAAATCACTCAGCTCTTGACATTAGATAATTTTAGGTAAGATAGAAATGATACAAAATAGTTCTGATTTTAGTGCGAGAGAAATGTACCCAACATATCTAAACTGTTTTCTCATGTGATTAGAGAGAATGAACAACTATCAAAGTATGGAGACACGAAGTCTGCCAGGGCAATCATGTTGGTTGAGCTCAAGAAGCTGATCGAAGCAAATCCTTTATTCCGTGACAAACTGCAGTTCCCCCAACTCAAGAATTCTAGGCTGAGGACCCTTATTAATCAAAGGTAAGTTTTCTTACTGCGTTAAATTTTGGCCGTCTACCTTGTTCTGTTGCTTAACATGACTTAGGGATGTGGCTGCAGTGGTAATGGTTTAGCATTAAAACTTTTGTGGGTTTTATGGAATGATCCTTTAAGGTACAAACTTTTGTGGTTTTGATGAAGTGTATAGTACTTACAATTGTTTAAGGCACAACCTTCCTGACATAAGAGGTGGGTTCCACCATCCCAAACTGTGGAAAACAAATACGGGGATTTGAGAAGTAATTTACCTACAATCTTAGGTCTTGGATATGTGCTTCAGATCATGGGGACATTTAAATTTTATGTCTGGAGAACCAACGCTAGAAATAGTACATTTACTCGTTCCTATCAGTGCATACTGACAGATTGTTGGACTCATCATCAAATTATTTTACTCGTTACTTTTTTGGGCACTAAAGAGAATTGTTTTTCTTTTACATCACAGCTTAAATTGGCAGCACCAACTTTGTAAGAACCCAAGACCTAATCCAGATATAAAAACTCTTTTTGTGGATCACTCATGTGGACAACCAAACGGGGCGCGTGCTCCATCGCCTGCAAATAATCCTTTGCTTGGAGCATTACCAAAAGCTGGAGGCTTTCCGCCTTTGGGTGCACATGGGGTGAGTTAAACACCTTAACTGGCTAATGTTATCAAGTTTTCCATCAGAAACTTTTCCTTGATGGGCTTGGCTTTAAATTTTCAGCCTTTTCAACCTGCACCAGCTCCAGTTCCAACACCTCTCGCAGGTTGGATGTCCAATCCTTCCACCGTTGCTCATCCTGCTGTTTCTGGAGGAGGGGCTATTGGTCTAGGTGGTCCGTCAATTCCAGGTAATAGATTATTATTTTGTTAGCTGCTCTGGGTATCCTGTGTAATGATGCTAATGACATGTAGTTCATGGTTCTTATTTAAGTGGTTTTATTGCCTCGCAGCTGCATTGAAGCATCCAAGGACTCCTCCTACTAATCCTTCTGTCGACTATCCATCAGGGGATTCTGATCATGTTTCTAAAAGAACAAGGCCTATGGGAATTACTGATGAGGTTCTGCAAATATATGCAAATTCATGAGCATTACAACTCCCCTTATATGATAATCTTATACTCTTTCTCCTCTTCTGCTAATTTTTTTTTTCCTGCAGGTAAATCTGCCCGTAAACATGCTGCCAGTATCATTTCCGGGACATGCTCACAGTCAGGCTTTTATTAATGCGCCTGATGATTTGCCAAAAACTGTCACACGGACTTTAAATCAGGGTTCATCACCTATGAGCATGGATTTTCATCCTGCTCAGCAGACTCTACTTCTTGGTTTGTCTTTTACCTAGCTTTTTAATATTTCATTTTCAATACTTAGCTTTATTAAATTACATGGTAATTAAACTAGCTTTATTAACTTACATGGTAATTGGTCTAGTTCTATCCAATAATTGCTTACTAGTGATATTGTCATTTGACTGGTTGCTACTCCCGATGTGATGCTTCAGTTGGTACCAACGTGGGGGACATAGGGTTGTGGGAAGTTGGATCAAGGGAGAGGTTGGTTCTGAAGAACTTTAAAGTCTGGGATCTTAGTACCTGTTCAATGCCTTTGCAGGTGTGTCCATTCTTATCTTATCTCTCCCTTTTTTTTATTTGGTTCTTTTGAAACCTTCTTGTTCATTATGATAAAAATATATGTATGATTTGCCCCTGGTGATAACTGTATTTTCCCTTTGTTAATTTCAGGCTGCCTTAGTTAAGGAACCTGGTGTTTCTGTCAACCGTGTTATTTGGAGCCCTGATGGTTCGTTATTTGGTAAGCCTTGACTATAACGGAATACTCGGTGGTTAGTGTAGCCTTATCACCATAACCATTTTAAGGGTTTAACTGAAACGTTAATCATGTGTCGCCTTGCTTTTCGCATTTCAGGTGTTGCATATTCTAGGCACATTGTTCAAATATATTCTTATCACGGGAATGACGACGTAAGACACCATCTGGAGGTAAGTGGATAATTCAGAGTGTATGGTTTCCAATTTTCACCCGTTCTTGCCTTGTTTGCTTAGAGTTTTCCTTACTAACAGTGACTGAATTCCTATTACAGATTGAAGCTCATGTTGGTGGAGTGAATGATTTGGCATTCTCCCACCCGAATAAACAACTTTGTGTTATTACTTGTGGTGATGACAAGACTATCAAGGTTGGTTACTCACTCATGTTACCTATTTTCTTTGTGTAATCAGAATAAAACTCCTTTTTCTCATTATCTTTTTGAATTTCAGGTTTGGGATGCTGCTACCGGTGCAAAACAGTACACCTTTGAAGGTCACGAGGCTCCTGTTTATTCTGTCTGCCCCCACTATAAGGAAAATATTCAGGTACTGCTCCATTATTTACAAATGTCTTTGTTGTATTAGTTACAATAGTCGAGCTTATTCTTCTTGCATGTTTGCCTTTTTTTTTTTTCACTGAATCCAGCTGACCCGGTCCTCATTTTCTACATTCTTCTTTTTGCTTTGTGCTGCAGTTTATCTTTTCAACAGCCCTAGATGGAAAGATCAAAGCATGGTTGTATGACAATCTGGGATCTCGAGTTGACTATGATGCTCCTGGCCGCTGGTGCACGACCATGGCATACAGTGCAGACGGTACAAGGTTAACAACTAGTACTCTCTTTTGCACTGTCTTAGTGTTACTGATCTTATGGTGATGCCTAATGGATAATTATTCTCAATATTATTGATTACCCCCATTTCCCTCTGGTGGTGGGTTTTTGCAGACTTTTTTCATGTGGGACGAGTAAAGATGGGGAGTCATTTATTGTTGAATGGAATGAAAGTGAAGGGGCTGTCAAGAGGACTTATCAAGGATTCCGCAAGCGTTCTTTGGGTGTTGTGCAATTTGATACAACTAAAAATCGGTTTTTGGCTGCTGGTGATGATTTCTCTATTAAGTTCTGGGATATGGACAATGTTCAACTTTTGACAACTGTTGATGCTGATGGAGGACTTCCTGTAAGTTAAACCTAAATTAAATAGGTAGACCGCCATTTGAAATAATGATTGGTTATAGTTATTCTTTCCTTTGGTAATTCCTAGGCGAGCCCCCGCATCCGATTTAACAAGGATGGAACTCTCTTGGCTGTTTCTGCTAATGACAATGGGATCAAGATTTTGGCAAATACAGATGGAATTAGGTTGTTGCGCACTTTCGACAATCTTTCTTATGATGCATCAAGGACATCTGAGACTGTGACAAAGGTAGCCTTTTCAGAGATTTATTTTTGTGGCGCAGGACCTTTTCTTAATAAACTGGCTAACATGTTATATATATGTCTCCTCCAGCCTACAGTAGGCGCAATTTCAGCTGCTGCTGCCGCGGCATCTGCTGCTACCAGTGCTGGACTTTCCGAGAGAGCTTCATCTGTGGTTACAATTGCTGGAATGGTTTGTTTTCTTATAGACTTTGGACCTTCATTTTGTCACTCCATAGTTGTAACACCAATGTCTGTTTCTTTTACAACAAACGGGAACTTTTCTAATCACATATTTGATTTATAAATCTATGCCAGAACGGCGATGCCCGAAACTTGGGAGATGTGAAACCTCGAATAGCTGAAGAATCTAATGACAAATCAAAAATCTGGAAGCTCACTGAAATCAGTGAACCATCTCAGTGTCGGTCCTTGAGGCTCCAGGAAAACCTGAGAGTGACCAAGGTATTGGATGCTAAGTATAATGACTTAGAACTGAAAGTATACTGCTTTTCCAATTATAGTGCTTCATTAATATGAATCATATTCCGAGTTTAAGGTTAATATGTTGTCATGTCAGATAAACTGAGGAATGTTATTTAAAACAAAAAAGCCTGAAGGATATTGAATTCCATTTTGACTATATCTTGTCATTCTATCCTGATTAACTTTTCCTTGGTTTCCAGATATCGAGGTTAATCTATACAAATTCCGGGAATGCTATTTTAGCATTGGCATCAAATGCTATTCATTTGCTATGGAAATGGCAGCGTAGTGACCGTAATTCTACCGGCAGAGTAAGTGTGTACCAGCATTTTTATCAACCTCAATTGTTTTTCATTTTTTAGTTTTTACTGATATTATTGGTTTATTATTGGTTCTTTCTTTTCAGGCGACAGCCAGTGTATCACCTCAATTGTGGCAACCAACAAGTGGCATTCTAATGACTAATGATGTTGCTGATACTAATCCTGAAGAGACTGTGCCTTGCTTTGCTTTGTCCAAAAATGATTCTTATGTAATGTCAGCATCTGGAGGAAAGATCTCCCTTTTCAATATGATGACGTTTAAGGTAATATACGAGTCCTACTCCTATGCTTCCAGATATTTATCTTTTTCATTTAGATAATCTCTGTTTCTTTGCTGGCAAGCGCAGACAATGACAACTTTCATGCCACCACCACCTGCGGCAACGTTTCTTGCCTTTCATCCTCAAGATAACAATATTATTGCTATTGGAATGGATGATTCTACAATTCAGATATACAATGTGCGCGTAGATGAGGTATGATGCTGTATGTGGAAATTTATCTGTACTACTCTTGAGATTCTTGTTATTTAGTCGCCATTTTCTTGATGCAGGTAAAGAGCAAGCTGAAAGGCCACTCTAAACGGATTACTGGCCTAGCTTTCTCTCATGTACTGAATGTGCTAGTTTCATCTGGAGCAGATGCTCAGGTTATACTTCTGTACTCGACATGTCACTGAAATTTAACTTTACTACCATTGCCATCCAGATCAATCGCAACATATACTAGTTTCCTTTTTTTCTCTTCCTCATAGTGATGGAGTTTGCACGAACTATGTTTACACTGTTCTCAATACAATGGTATGATTGGTTCACTTATAATTTTTAACCTTCTTTCAGATTTGTGTGTGGAGCTCTGATGGTTGGGAAAAGCAGAGGAACAGATTCTTGCAGATTCCATCAGGAAGGACGCCATCATCTCAGTCAGACACGCGTGTACAGTTTCATCAGGACCAGATACACTTCCTCGTTGTGCACGAGACTCAGCTTGCTATATATGAAGCGACAAAGCTAGAATGCGTAAAGCAGGTATATCTGTCATCTTGGTTCTAAGATATATTTACTGGTTCATTTCTATTGTCTAAAGCTTTTTGGTAACATTCTATACTTGTAGACCCACGTTCCGCTTAAGGTGTTTCTTTTCACCAATTTTTCTTACAAACTTTTGTATGTTGTAAACAACTTTCTGTTTTTTTTTTTTTTTTTTTTTTTTTTTTTTTTTTTTTTTTTTTTTCTTCTTTTGGTATTTGTTTTCAGTGGATCCCACGTGAATCTGCGGCATCAATCTCTCATGCTACATTCTCGTGCGACAGCCAGCTCGTATACGCCAGCTTTTTAGATGCCACTGTCTGTGTATTTGGTGCTGCCAATCTCAGACTACGATGTCGTATCACTCCTTCTGCATATCTTCCTGCTAATATCAGGTACTTACCTTGCTCCTTGGCAAGACTTAAAATCTATTCCAACTTTTTCTTCTGTGCACTGTTTTGGCTTCACATGGGGCCAGTTTGGTAGTGCTGTAGATTATGAAAAAAATTGTTTTTAGCTGCGCTGAAAGAAGCAGCTGTTACTAGTAAACTGTAATTATACAAGTGTTGCTTGTTCTAAAAGCAGTGTAATGGCGTTCGGTAAATTATGAAGTTGAATTGTTGTGGGTAGTTAAGATGACCGTAATTAATAATATTAAATTAATACATGAAGTAATTAATAATTGATAATTATTTAGTAAATAAAAATTAATAATATAATAATAATGATACATTATTAATTAAACTATATATATAATAAATTAATATGCTAAATAATTAAAAATAGTAATTAGTAATTAATTATAAGTAATTACTATGTTAGTAATGCACTCATATTTATTAAATTATACGTAATTAATTAGTGTATTAAAAAAATAATTAGTATATACATAATTTATTAATATTTTCTTTACTAACTATTTACTAATTAATAGATTATAATTAACATAATATATGATTGATATATTAATTATTAATTATTTACTTAATGACCTATTATTACTTGTTTTATTGTTAATATGTAATATAATAACCTATTATTACTTGTTTTATTGTTAATATGTTATATAATTATTTTTTGACAATTAATCTTTAACTAAATAAATAATTACGATATTATTTATTATTTTATTAACAAAATTAAAAACTTAATAGTATTTAATTAATATTTAAGTAATTACTATCTATTTATTAGTTATTAAGTTTATCTATTTATTAATTATTAATTAATATATAAAATAATTAGTAATTAATAATTAATTATTTAATATAACTTTGTTGATAATCATTAATTGTACTATGTTGATTCTCACACAATCTAAAAGTCAAAGTTGACTTAGGGTTGCTTCTGATTTTGACTGTAGATTCTTCAAAAATTCTTTAAAAGTCACTTTTTATGGTTTTTACCAAACATTGTTATCAGTTTCTGATTGTTAGAGAAGTGATTTTGAGCTTTAAAAAGCACTACCAAAGGCACTTAGACTTGTTTCGTCATCAGCACCAAATTTTGTGTTTACAAGTTGTCTTTTTCTGTGCACAGTTCTAGTGTACAGCCATTGGTGATTGCCGCCCATCCACAAGAAGCAAATCAGTTTGCGTTGGGACTATCAGATGGTGGGGTTCATGTCTTTGAGCCTCTTGAATCTGAGGGCAAATGGGGTGTGCCTCCACCGGCTGAAAACGGGTCAACAAGCAGTGTGCCAGCTACTCCGGTTGGAGGCGCAGCTTCCGAGCAAGCTCAAAGATGATCAAATGCCTGCAAGACTTACAAGCTCTTTTACATGCTTGGCTTGCGGGCTCATTCCGTATTTAGGTATACACATACAAGATACTGAACATTTTCTTCTCATAAATATTTTCTCGTTAAATTCTGTTGTTTTTTTTTTTTTTTTTTTTTGGTTTTTTTACTTTTTTTTTTTTTTTTTTTTTTCCCTTTTGTTATTTTGCAGTTCGTGGTTCATGATATGTAATTTTCTTGCTGAAGTTCATGATATGTAATTTACTCAAGGAACGATGTGCAAAGATCTAGATTAAACAATTTGGGTCCAAATTCGTGTAAGGTAAACGTTTGTAGGGAGTACGTTACGATTTTTTTTTTTTTTTTCTTTAACCTTGTTTGAATATCACTGCTGTTTTACATTTCAGATTACTTAGACATTTCGTGTTCTTTTGTCATTTTTGTTCGACAAATCCATATGTGGAGGAAGCTCTCCGTTTCTCCTACTTTTATGTCTTTGCTCGCTGAGGTTTTGGTTTTTCTTCTCTGGAGGGGCACCTATTCAAATTTAAGTATATAACCCTCATTGTAAATACACTGATTTCTCAACTCGCAGATTCTTTATTTGCTACTTTCATCTATTTTGCCTGTAAACCAAGGCATGAAAACTGTTGCATTTTGTCAAAGCGTTCTAATCATAGAAATCATTCCGATCACCATCTATAGAGCACGGAAGTGAGTAGTGTATTTTTTCTAGTATTTATTTATTTATTTATTCATCTATTTATTTCTAATGTTAGCTTTCCATGGGCTCCTTGTCTCTAATAGGTCCGGTTAAGATCTAATTTAATATTGCTTTTGGAGACTTGCATGAAGATGCACTTTTCCAATTATTTTATTATCTTCTACTTCTTTTGCTATAAATGAAAAAAGACCAAACCTAAAACTCATTTCTAGTAGCTTGCGTTTCCTGATCTCTTTCATGGCTACGAAAAAAACATATGATGTCATCCGAAGACGACAAATAACGAACTAAACGGTTTTCTCTTTTCCATTTTTGATTTCCACCGTCAGGATTACACAATGAGTAACCCTCGAGACCAAGTGGCAGATATTCCCTGCTCTGAACAGCGTAATTGACTCTCTTAAAAAAAAAATATGATGTCAGTATTGAGCAAATATTTTCAAAGAATTTGTTTTTGTTTTTGTGTTTTTTTCATTTTGACTTAAAGCAATAAGAAGTCAAAAATTTAGGAGATGTTTGGTTCGTAGATTAGAATCATGATTCAGAATTATTTTTAATTTACGTGTATTTTTTTATGAGAAAATATTATAGTGAATCACGAATTATAATTTAAATCAGGTATAAACGCACTCTTAATCTCTGACAGCAAAGACTATAAAAATGGGGGACCCAGAAAAAGAAAGAACGAACTTGGACAGATGGAAGAAAGAATTGTTGGGCGATTTGAAACCCATTTTGAAAACGTCTTTCACATTTTTTGAGAAACAAAAAATTCTCAAAAAATGAAAAGGGTCTGAAGATTACCTTTGAAGCAGCATCCAATGAAAAACAAAACTGAAAACACATTTTTCCTTTTTTCTAAAAGCCCACACTTTTTGAAAACGATTAAAAATCGTTTTCCTTTACTTATTTTCATTTTCTCCTCCCTTTCCTTTAACTTGGTGGGAACTAACTCCTCTCCAGTCTCCATCTTTCTAAATGGTGGGCTTATCGGTGGATTCGCAAGAAGGTTTTCTCCTCCGGTCTCCCTCTTCTCCAATCTCCCCCAAATCAACCGAGGTATGGCCATTAATCTGGTAATTTAAGTGTTTAGCTTAGTCTTTTTTCTGATTTTCTGATCATTTGTGGGATTATTGCTAGTTGGGTTTCAAATTGTGTTGAAACGGTGGTTTGTGTTCTGTTTTTTTTAATCGATCAGAGGCTTAATCCCGCTGATCACAAGTTTCGTTACTAATTCTAAAGGTAATTTTGTTGTTTTTTCTGTTAATGATCTTGTGAGGATGATTATGTGGTGTTGATCATATTGTTTGTCTTGATCTGTATATAACTGGTAATGGGTATTGTTTTGTTTTGAGAATTTGGGAACTTTTTTTTCACTGCAAGTAGTTTTTTTGGATTCTTATTGATGGTTGGAAAAATGGGTTTGAGAGAGTTTTAGCTATGGTGGAGAGTTTTTGTGGAAAAATGGGTTTATGGTGTAGAGTTTTTTTTTGGAAAAATGGGTTTATGGTGTTGATCATATTGTTTGTCTTGATCTATATGTAATTAGTAATGGGTATTGTTTTGTTTTGAGAATTTGGGAACTTTTTTTTTTCCCGCTGCAAGTAGTTTTTTTGGATTCTTATGGATGGGAACTCGGCGACAACGTAATCAAATGACTAATTTCAAGAATCTAGTTGGAATTGATATATACGACACTAATATCGGACATCCACTTTATTGCTAATGGTAATTACTACGTTCTTATATATATATATAAATTAACTATTAACATGTGTGTATAGTAATTAGTATCCTAATTGTTTATTATGTACACCACTATAATTGATAAATAGCACGTATAATATTTAGATATAACAGATATTTATATAATATACTGCTATATTTATATAATATATTAATTATTAGTATATTGTTTGGAGAGATTATTAATTATTTAATATATTATTTAAAATACTATTAGACGTTTTTAAAAATATATAACCAAACAAAGTTGTAATTTTTTCTTATACTAAAAATATTTTTTAAATAAAACTATCAAATATATTTTTAAAAATAATTCCGACACGAATCTTAAAATATTTTTATTTTTATTTTTATACGCAAAACGGAATCATTTCGAAACGGATTCTAACATGCCGTTGCTTTTTTCTCTGCTCTTTTTGTGGGATGGAAGATAGATTTATCGTTTGGTTTGTCGTGTTTTCTTCCTGCCTCACGCCTTTTTTCAAGTGCAAGATAATGGAAAGAAGTGATCGAGCCAAAATGACTTGAAAAAGAAAGAACACAAAACAAATAAAATAAAACCATGTGATTGGAACATCTTGAGCGGAATATTATTTACCATTTGCATGCAAGCTAATTTCCAGACAGAGAGGCCTGGGGAAAGCTAGCAATGCCTCCCAAAAAAAAAAAAAAAAATCCAGACAAATACATTGACTGCAACGTGTGAGATAGATAACTATACAGAAAAGTCGCACGTCACCAACGGTCACAGCAGAAGATTATGTACAAAAATTTCCTTCTGACACAAACAAAGAAAGTTGCTTGAAAGACTCGTGCCTAGGAAGCTTTTTGTGCACACACTTTTCTTCTAAATCCATTACGATTCAGAAGAAACCTTCACATTAAGCATAGAGGTTATTATACATCGGGTAGACACATGGCGGTCCCAAATCATAACTACAGTTTTATCAACTTGTCTTCTTGCCTTCTTTCTTATAGATACGATAGTTATTTCTGCAAGCTGAGAGTTGCTTAAGAGTCTGCTACTACCTCCATAACTACTCAGGTCGGACGCTTACCAGATTAGGGAGGTGATTCGACTGAAGATTCTTGATGTCGTTCGCTGAAACCTTGCAGGACTCCAACGTCAGCGACTTCAAATTCTTCAGTGTTCTCAAATGCCGAAGTCCGGAGCTGGAAATGCGGGAATTTGACACATTCAAAGAGACCAGCCCTGTCAGCCCTGCATTTTCATGGATGGAACGTGAGGTCACTTCTTTTCAATTTACTATTGACAGGCGCCTATATAAAAGTACTACATAAGCAGCACTCCGTGTTGTTCATTTATCTCCTTTCTGATCACTAAACATTGATGACGCTAAGAGGGCTGGGAAGTGAAGAAATATAATTCGTTTCCAATTGAAATACTGGTATTTTGAGAACATTCTCAAACACTGGAGGTGACAGATTTAATAGAATGTTTCCTTCTAAGCAGAGAAACAACTATATAACTGATAACATACTTGGTTCATGGACTAACCTGAAATCATCTCCAAGGTTTTGTCTGTCAGGTTGCAGTTTTGAGACAGATTCAACAATGTAAGGGATGACAAGTCTCTGATATTCTTTACTCCAGAATCGGTCAGTCCTCCGCCACAGATTTCCAGGGACCTCAGATTCTTAAAGTCTGAACATAAATAGACCAAAATTATCATATATGTCTCTCAAGGCTCAACATATAACTATCATTACTAAACATGAATACACGTATGTTATGTGTGGAGGTGTGGGAAACTGTGTGAAGTTATGGAAGTAGCACAAACTTTTTCAATTATCCCAATTTCTGATTGCAGAAAGTCATTACTCTTGCAGAAACAATATTTAGGTTCATGATGATAGTCAATCTACCTAAATTAAAAACAATACCCGTGTTCAGGAAGAAAGAAAATTCTAAAAGTTCTGAGTGCAAGCTTGAATATGTGAAAACTAGTTCATATCGTTTCGAGGATGCAGAATGAAAATTCTGTAACTATTTCAAATAAGTTAAGAGGTCTTTATTTAAAAGAAAGGAAAAAACAAGAGGGTCAGTTGGCTATTCCCATATGATCACAAGCGGCTTGCGACAATCAGAATAGAATTAGAGTTTTAGAAAATCACGTTACATTCAGGCAGTTCTCTTGAATTGATTTAACAAGTCCATGTCATTCTACACGCACAGATAACATATTTTTAACATACTATGCAACTGAACCATAACTGGGTAACGTCGCATACTTCGCAAGTAATTTGTTCCAGAGTCTGTAATACGAGCTCCAAAAAGATCCAAATGTTGTAGTCCGGTCAAACCTGAATCATTAAAAGCCGAAAAAAAAAATGTATCAATTTGCAATTATAGTTGATCATAATAGACTGCTCAAGCATATTATTGATTTATGTGTGTTTCTATGTGACTGACAATAATAATTATAACATTTAAATTTAACTTAAGTCCAGAGCTAACCATACAAAAGCGAACAAGACAGGTGTGTAGAATTCAAAATCCATATAATAATAATACACTTACTTGTAAGAGTTGCTAGTCCAGAATCTGTAATTTGGCGAGCATCCAAATTAAGAGATTTTAGAGATGAAAGTCCAGACAGCTTCCGTAAACCACTGTCAGTAATTACAGTGAATGATAGATTAATGCTCTCCAGATTAACCAAACCTATAGTCCAGAATGACTTGGTCAGCATAAGAAGAGAGCCCTCTTTGGCCTTTACTACGTAAACCATAAGTGGAAGATAAAAGGCCTAACCAGATAAATGGCGGAGCCCATTGCTCCCAACCTCAGTATCCGACAACTCCAGACATTTCAATTGCTGAAGACCTAAAACCAAATCATTCATACCAAAAATTCAGTATTTTCTGTAGACAAGGATTAACTATTAACAAGAGAAAAGGCAGGGGTGTGTCACTAGGATGTCAAAGTAATACGTAATTAGAAGTCTCAACATCCTTATTTTCTCCCTATAAGAAAACTGCAATAGGTGAATATGATTAAACATTGATATAGACAGGAACTAAATGTAAATTAATCTTTCCAAACTTCAGAAGACCAAACAATTGGCAGTCGATGATGAATTATGTTATCCAAACATAGGAAAAGAACAGAAAGTTTACTTGGCGATGCAAATTCTGTAATAACAAGACTGCAGGATGGGAATAGTCATCTTTTGCTTACATAAAGTTAGAAAATTGGGGTGAATATAAAATAATAAAGTTTGATCTGTAAACATAAAGCATGGAAGCATACTCTATTGCATCGGTTTACAAAACATTAGAAACATAACTAGCGTGCAATAGCTAGCCACTGACCTGTCAAATTTACAAGGCCCTCATCACCAATCCTACAAGAATCCAAGTTCAAGCTCTCCAAATTTGTCAAACCTGCTCACAGCAAGAGTAATCATGTAATAAAATTATAAATTACATTTATAAATAAACGTCCGCTCATTGCATAAACTTTACCAAGAGGGTTTATTTAAGCATTTTCACCCCCACTAATCCACAAAGAAGCTAGTCCCAAAATCTATGAGCATAATCATTGAGCATCAACACATATGTGCAATTCCAAAAGAATAAATAAAAACATACGTGAAGGCAAATGCACAAATGCTGCACAAAAACGAAGCAACATGAAGCTCAAAAAAATTCCTTGCAATCAGCTTTGACAAGTAGAAAGGGAAATAAGGTGTTTTTTTTCCGAAAAAAAGTATCTGGCTCCAAATACCTAACGTAAAGTAATAGACATCATTTCCTATGTATTTGAGAAGCACTGATTGTACCCAAATTTCTATTGTATAAGAGGTTGAAAAAGAAACTACCTTTCAAGTGCACCAAACAAGCATCTGTGATGTCATTGAAGGCCAAATTTAGTACTTTCAACTTCACGAGTCCTGCACGAATAAAGTATTTATCGTAGATTACCCTGAGTTTTTCTGAAAATATAAGCACAAACCAACAGAAATCAAAGCATAACTATATGTAAACTTGCACGTACCCAAAGAAATTATCTAATAAATTACAAAACCACTTACGAGAAAATTTATCACATCCATTGTCAGTAAGACAACATCTGCTTAGATTCAGATATTGCAAAGCTGTAAGAGCTGAGACAAAAACAACCAAGATATTAGGCCAAGAAAAGCTAGAGAGAAAGATTAATAGGGTATTGAATTTGAAAAACATAGAGAAATTTCATCCTGTTTCTCATTTGTCTTTTTAACATTTAGCAGACAGTAAAATACAGAAGGCAAGATATGTTGTTCCACCCGTCAGAATCAATCTATATAAGCTAAAGATCATTAGAGAAATATGACCTATATAGGAAGTATGATGGCGTCGAAGACACTTGATTTTTCCTTTTCAAAAAGGGATTCAAGATGTGGGAAGAGGAATTAATGTTCTAATCTGAGAAGCTCAAACAAAAGCAAGAGGTTTTTTGAGAGAAGAAGCTTAGCTCTCAAAATATCATATTCAGCTTATCCCCAAAATGCTAACAGGAAGCTCGCTTAAGAGACTAGGGCCCAAAATACAAAACAGCGTACTTAGGAGTTCACTTTCAAAAGAAAGTGCACAAACTTGAAAACTAAATAAAACGACAAAGAAAAGTGAAGTAAAACAACTAGAATTATTCAGCTGCAAACGACAGAGAAAACAGAAACAGATCAGGCTTACGATCCTACATCAAGTTCTAAGCTCCTACTGCGTACCTAAGCACCTCTAAAAACTAAATCACCACTAAAAGATAGAAACAATATAGAAATTGGTGCGCATAATGCACCAACACATGTTGATAACAATTAAGAACCTGAGCAAATATTGCAAGTTCAAAGATAACATCTGATGGTTCCAAAAATAGCCAAGCATATGGGGAACTGCCAACCTGAAAGAGAGTCCAAGCATGCAGCAGTAACTGGGCATCCCTCCAAGTTTAATAGAGAGAGATTGTGAAGACCTGCAATGCACCAAAAAAAGAACTGATCTATACATGAAAGCAACCAATAACCTAAAATTGTTTCTGACATCCAAACTTCATCTGCCTTCAATATCCCTAAAATCCAGTTGTAGAAACTACAACCATTTCTCATGCTGATAATACTATACTGAAAATGTAACTAAATACCTTTCAAGTAAGAAATGCCACAATCTGTGACTTTACTGCAGGAAATTTGTAATCCTTTCAAGTTTGTAAGCCCTGGAAAAACAATTGAAGAAGCAATTTTGAGAAAGGACCGCTTCAATGAGAACCATCTCCTATAACTACCGGTCATTCAATTACAAAGACTAAGAATAGGAAGAGAAGGCATTTTGCAAACAACCTGAGAGAGGCTTCATATCAGCATCCGTTATGCAGTTGCACCAACTGATATTCAAAGATTCCAACCTTGTTAAATCTGTAAAAGGGCATAGACAGTATGTATGAGATAAATCATTATGGTGAAAAAAATCATGCAGTTGTGGTATGCTAAACTAGTAAAGTTATGTTTCATGCAAAGCTTTAGATTAAAGATGGACATACCTTTAAGATAAACAAGCCCACCATGAATCCAAGGACATCGCTCCAGATCCAACTTGACCAAATTGACGAGTCCAGCAAAGGCACTCATTCCTTGGGCAGTAATAGCATTGTTTCTTCTAAAGCTTAAACTCGTCAAGTTAGATAGACCTGAAAGACTCACTTATGGTCATGCACAAATTCCACAAATTCTAATCCAGAGAAGGGAATGCCCATTCCCAACGCACAGAAATACACTATTTCAGGGCCCAAATTAGTTGCAAAAAGGGGAACAAAATTGTGTTCCAGATGAAGACTATAGTGTTAAATTCCAATCTTGCAGCCTTTATAAACTAACTAGAAATTCCTATGCCCTTTTCAACGAGTCATAAAACAATAAGAAGCCAATAACTCTCTCATGCATCCTACATTTTTTTCCCTTCTCTTGTTCAGCTCTTCAACATGTATTTTCTAGTAGACGCCTCCTATGATTCTAGCTCATTGTTAAAGACAAGAGAAAGACAGAGTAAACGGCAAAGTGACTAATCCAAGAGAACAGAACAAGAAAGAATACCGCTGATGTGATCCAGCCCATGGTCTGAAATTTGGTCGCAGTAATTAAAGTTCAATGCTTGGAGATTTGTGCAATCTTTCAGGTGAATCAACCCACTGTCAGTTACGTCCGAAAAAGACAGATCCACAGAAAGTAAGGACGAACCCTGTGATGAGACGACGTCCATCCAACTGTCGTTCACTCCAGGGTATTCTCCCAAGTAAAGATCCTATCAAACACATTGCTCAGAAACAACAGGAGACCACAAAGATTGAATTAGAAGATCAACTTAACAAATAACTCTATTAACTACCTGCAGTGCACAATCCCTAAAAGCTTCAAGGGTGACCTCAGTTAGGCAACGGGAATACACCAGTTCATTAAAGATCTGCTGACTAATGTCCCTTGGGAGCATTGAGAAGGTGTCATACTTATCAATGTCCTGCAAGGAAGGAAAAAAAAAATATATATATATATATACACACACACACACACACACTTCATCCACAATATAAAAGATCATGAAAAAAAGCAAGATTCTTTTGTAAAAAGTCATTATACCTCTCTTATCTTACGGATGCACAAGTCCAAGAGAGATGGGCACTTCCCATTTCCTGGCTGAAAATCAACAGCAGGTCTAGTGAAAGAGGTTGCCAACCACTTGGAACTCCCACTTTTGCAGTATCTTCTAGAAACCCCTCCTCCTCCATTTAAATTGTCTTCTTCCTCTCGTTGATCTCTCTTCCTAGAACAAGCTCCCCCCATCGAGAAAATCCTTGTAATCAATTATATGTCATAAGAACTGCAGCAGAAAAGTACTGCAATCCATTCAATACCCAGAAATGGAAAGAATAACAGAACACGACATTCCCTAATGGCATAGGCAAAAATGGGAAAATCAGAAAATTTATTAAAACTATCCAAAAATTTATGGAAAGACTGAGAATTGCTTCTGACGCCGGGATACATATTTAAAGTACCAAATAGTAGTGCTAAAACATGATGCAGAATGATATTCCGCTCGGTTGCCAAGTAAACAAGTCATAAATTTCCCGGAGAAAAGAAAAAGGAAAAAGGAAAAAGTCACAGAAAGGGAAAGAACAAACTTTTGCAATGATAACGTCAGCTGAATACGAAGCTCACTTAAAAGTAAAGCATTCTGATTTCTCGCGTGCTCAGCAAATTCATTTGCAACTTTAAATTAATAGTTTCGCTTCTATATCAAATTTTCTCAGAAACCAAACAAAACCCGTCAACGATTCCCAAAACGAAAAGAATCAAGCTATAAGACGAGAAAATAAAAGAAGAGATCAAATAAAAAAAATTTTAAAAAAAAGGCACGATCTTATGGTACTACTACGAGAAAAATAACTGTGAGAGTCAGTAGTGTTCCGCAGAAAATAATTCCACGAAAAACGTTCAAATAGACAAAAAAAAAAAAAAAAGCAAACTTTTCACACTGATCGCGTCGTAAATTCATAAAAGTAATAACAGACTCGGGACGGAAAACCGAAGAAGCCCAACTTTCTTACCAGGAAAAAAAAACCAATAAAATCGAACATAATATTTTCCAGAGAAACAAACAAGAAATGAAAAGGATTATATCAAAACAAAAGAAGCTTAATCTCTACCTGAACATGATGAATGAATTGGTGAGTAGTCTGATTCTCTCGAAAGAGAGAGATGAAAATGATCAAAAGGCACTCATCTGTGGTTTCTGCAGAGAGAAGCCAAAAGTGAGACGGTCATGGTAGGAAGAGAGAGTTGGGAAAAGAGAGAGAAAAAAATAAGGTCTAGTGGTGTCGACCGAACCAGAGTCCGAGCCAACGGATGATAGCCACGTAGCGGCTGCGGTCAGCAAGAGTGGTTCGGAGTTTGGTGCATCGGAGAAGGATGAGATAAGACTTGAGAGAGAGAAAGAAGAGCCGGCGAGTGGGTCCCATTCTTTGGGCTTTATCCATAATTTGGAGATCTTGGGTCCCACCACCCCTGATGGTGCGCTCCTTCACTTCCTCCTAATCAGTGTGTACACGCAAAGATACGTTTTCATAAAAGCTTATTTAGAGTTAAATCGTATATTTGATCTCGAACTATTTATCAGAAATAAGGAAAAAGAATTTATTGCGTCTCTAATTTTGAGACGTTTAAGAACGTCACTAATCTATGGGATTTTCCTAACTTACTAGTTTTAAACTCAAGAAAGTGTCTCTTACATGGTGCCTTAAATTTTTAATTAAAACCGTTAAATTTCTCATAAAGATTTCTACACTATTTTCTCCTTCTAAAAAATGACAAATGAATTGATTTGTAAATAAATAGATAAAAAAAAAGAAATAAGAAAATCAAAATGAGAGATGGGAGATAAAGGGTTCAAAAATATTTATAAAAATATTTGTTTTTAAAGATTATTATCGGATAACAATAATATGAGAATATTTATTAATACGAATATAATCACTCAAAAAAAATATCAAAAGTTAGATATGTGAATAAATAAATAAAAAAAGATAATTTTAAAAATATCTCTTGAAATGAAGTCCTTTTTTATTTTTATCCTTTAACGTTAACCCGAGTGACCGATTATCCTTTAACGTTTTTTTTTTTCGCTCATCTACTCATCTATCACGTCTTTAAAAACATCTTTTTGTGATAAAATATTATCGTGACATGTATTTTTAATGCACCTCCTTACTTTTATCATCCCTAATTACAGCTGTAGCTAAGAGTGTTCACAGAATTCGCGAATCTGTCCGCACAATTTAATATAATCTGAAGTTTTAGATCGAACTGAAAATAGTTTTGCATCGGACACAAATTGAAAAAATTCCAATCCGAAAGTTTTGAATTGGATTGCGGATTGAATTCTTTCCAATCCGTAAAATCCGCGAATCTAAAACCATATATATAATTTTTATAATTATATATATAAGTTAATTTTTCTAATTTTTTTATAAGTTAATTTTTTAATGTGTTCATTTGCACAACTCAAGTCATGACTTGAGTTGTGTATGTGAGAGAAAAATATTATAGCAAAAAAGTTAAATTTGAATTTATATGAGAGAAAATACCGTAGTAATATGACTTAAGTTGTGTAAGTGAATACATAGTAAATTTTTTTTATCTTGTGTATGTTTTGTTACTTTTGTAGAAAACTTAAGTCTTACTTCAGAAGTTGTGGATGTTGAATTACTTTAAAGTAACGATGAAAATTTTATTTTGAGTTTCACTAAATCTATTTTGTTATTATTAATTGGGTTGTAACAATCTAAACTTTTTACAATTTAGATGTTTATTAATGTTTCATGTTGCATTTATTTTGTATATATGTTTATTAATTTATATTTTTAAATATCAAAATCTGTAAATCTAATCTGTAAAATTCAATAAATTTTATATTATATTAAATCCAATCTAAAAAAATTTTAAATTAAACACGGATTGAAATTTTCTCAATCCACAATTCAATTGAGAATTGCGGATTAACCTTCAATCTGCTGATTGAGATTGTGAACACTCCTTGTAATTTTAGCAAAAAAAAAAAAAAGTAAAAAAGAATCCATCCGTACTTGTCGCTGGCTTCTACAATGCAATTTATTTATTGTTTTTTAATCGTTTCACTTCCATTCCTTCATTCTTTAGTTATTCTCTTTTGAGATTTATCTTCAATCTCTTTTTAGTTTTTAATTTTTAAAACATCTCACAGTTAATTTGAGAGATTTAATTTTACTTCATTTTTAATCCTTCAATTAACTTGGTGTTAAATATTTGACAAAATCTATATAAATAAGATACTAAAATTGAAAACAACTAAATCTTAAGGACAATCAATTGAAATTAAGTTTTAGTTTTTGTATTAATTTAACCTCTAAATTTTAGATGTTTCCCATTTTGATATTTAATTTTCACAAATTCTGTCAAATATTTAATACTTAGCTAATAAAAGGACCGAAAGCTAAAATAAAGTAAAACCTTAAGGATCAACTGTAAGACGCTTTAAAAGTCGGGAACTAAAGTGGGGTTGATATCAAACTTCAAGGACTATTTATGGAATTATTATTTTTTTTCATTTTCATATAAAAAAGAACAGAAAGTAGAAAATAATGTAATTTACATACATGGTAAAAACTACGGATCAAGAATTCTTAATCCAGAAATTGATAATTTTTAAATCCTAAATGGTTACGCACCTTAATAAAATAAGAAAATAATTGTGAACAATTAAATTAGAAGAGCATAAACATTTCTATTGAAAATTTAGAAACAATATCAAATCATTTAATGACAATTCATGTCTAGAGTTTTGAAATCACCCTTAACCAAATTGATTTCCCACTAACGCATCCAAATTGATTCTGAAAAACCTCCAAAACGTGCCTAAGCCCAATCTCATGATTTTTTCTCCATTTTTTTTTATTTTAAAACCTACAAAACACAAAATTTAAATCAAAACTCTAAGGACTCATTCATTTCGTTGATTCGAGTTGAAATGCAATTTTATGTGAGAGCTTTTAACTGTAGCAAAAAAAGTTAAATGTGACTTTTGTGAGAGCTATTAACTGTAGCAAAACTGGAATTAAAAACTTGAATCGGTGAAATGAACGAAGCCTTGAGGTAAAACTCTGATTTCACTGGTTTCAGTTCAAATTGAATGAACAATTTAATTGCAATTAATGCTCTTTCCAAACACCAATTGCAAACACAATTCAGATTGAATTGGGCTAAGTTGGGTGGAATTGTACAACTAAACAGGGCGTGAAGTTAGTCTGTTTATCTATTATCTATTCTATTATCTCATTAAGGGTGTGTTTAGTTGGAGGGAGAGATAGAATGATGGAGAGGGGTGGAGGGAGAGAGGTGAAGGGAGAGAGGTGGAAGGAGAGGGCAAATCACTTGTTTGGTTAGATGGAGGAGAGTAAGGAGGGGACAAATGGAGAAAGAGCTCATCCTCTTAAGCCCACAATCCTTCCATCTATGGGAGGATTCATGCAATCTATCTAAAGCATGCTTAAAAAGACTTTTTTATCCTCTAAAAAAAAGTATTGGCAAATAATAAGAAAGGTAATATAGTAATTTAATAATCATTCATCCAGCCATCATTTCAATACTTCTTCCTTCTTACCATAAAACACAAAAAATTACCATAATCCTCTCCATCCTTCATATTTCTCATCCTTCCAACCCTTTCCATCTCTTCTACCAAATAGAGCATAAAAGAGAGAATATGTTATTAGGTTTCATGAAGGAGGGGGTGTTGCCCCGCCCCCACCCGTTTTATTGTCCCGCCCCCACCCGTTTCATTGCCCCTTTAGTCTTCTTTTTTGCTTTTTTTTTTCTTTTCTTCTTTTTCCTCACTTATTATTTTTTAACATTTGATTCTTATATATCTTTAAATACATCTCCATTAAATATTTTTTACAGCTATTTAAGATATTATTTTTTCTAATTACCTTACTAAATTAATTTATTCTCAAATGTGTTCCTACATAAATATCTTTTGTCTGTGGTCCTCATAAATTTCAACTTCAGTCGCACTAAGTTTTTTTTTCTTGAGTTTGTTTTTTTAATCTTTTTCTCCTTATTTTTTACTTCATATATTTTTTCCCCCTTTTGTCTTTATTTCTTTTATCCTTTCTTTTTTTTCTTCCCTTTTTTTCCTCGGCGATTTATATAACTGTTGTCTTAAATTTGCACGCGTTTTTTAGTGGTATCTCCTAGTGAAAATGAGTTTTTGGGAGTTCCCCCCATTTTTTTTTCTTTTAGCTTTTCTTTTTCTTTTAGCTTTTCTTTTTCTTTTCTTCTTTTTCCTCCTTTTAACTTTTTTATTACATCTTTTAACCTTTAATTTTTTATATTTTCAGATATATCTCATTTAAATATTTTTCTTTCGGTTATTTAAAATATTATTTTTTCTAATTTTCCTGTTAAATTAATTTATCAATCTCCTAAAAGTGAGAATGGGTTTTTGCTCAAACAATCGAATGAAACCTGACGGAGGGGCGTTTTGTTGCCCCTTCAGTTCTTTTTTTTTTTCAACTCTCTTACCCTTTTTCTTTTCTTTTTTTAGCTTTTTTTTTTAGTTTTTATTTTTCTTCCCTTTTCTTCTTTTATTTCATCTTTTAACATTCTATTTTTATATATTCTTAAATATGTCTCATTTAAATACTTTTCTTTAAAATATTATTTTTTAATTACCATGTTAAATTAATTTATTCTCAAATATATCACTATATAAACATCTTTTTATCTGTAATCTTCATAAATTTCAATTTTTGTTGCAAAACATTTCACACAAATTTTTTCTTAAGTGCTTTTAATCTTTTTTTCTTATCTTTTGCTTTATGTTTTTTTTTTTCTCACTTTTGTCTAAATTTCTTTTATCATTTTTTTTCTTCCTTTTTTTTTCACAACGATTTGTATAACCGTCGGTTTAAACGAATTCGCGTGAGTTTTTGACTAGCTTTACTTAATAAGAGGAAATTACTAAAAGGAAATTATCTATTATTTTGTCAAATATAACTTTCTTTGTATTTTTATCGAACATCGTTTGTCTGTGTATAACTCAACTTGTTTAAGTGTAAGATTCATAACAAGTAGTCTAGCACTGTAACAATGAGTTACACTTATACAAAATGTGATAGGTTGTTAGAATGTGAAAGAAATTACATCTGTCAAACTACATAAGTGTCGGATTTAAGATTTTTTAAAAAAAATTTAAGTCTCGTTCAATTCTCCAATTTAAATTTTTAATTTAAATTTATTATAATAAAAA